AGTCTCTGGCCTCAAGTACACAACTGGTTAACAAAAATGGGTAGATTTCTTTGGAGAAAAGCTGGAAATATAAATACAATGTTTTTAGATCAAGTCTCATTTACAGCAATCGAATTCTCATGTAGATCTATTTCCGTAATATTGGTGCCAGTCAAACAGCCAGACAGTATTAAAAGTTTGCGTAACCAGGATACGCCCAATCGCTCCAGAGTAAAATTGCTCCATTTGGTAGATCCATAGTTGTTGGTCTTTTTGTTTTGTTTGGGGGGGGGGGGAGAGAGTCTCCGCGCCCCCCTCCCCATTGTTTCATTCTGCACCAACTTCTAAGATGTCTAGTAATTGAACTGGTTTAGAATCAGACACTAGATTTGTACACTTCAGGGCTGGCACACAGTTCAGTGTGTTACCGGAAGTACTACAGGTGAGACAGTAACGTCACACTGGTCTCTAGAACTACACAGGTGCAGGAGGGACTTTTACAAAGTGGTCTGAATGGAGCCACATGAAATGGTGACAGGATGTGTCTGTGGTTAACATCTTGTATCAAAATGTTAAAAGTGCCTTCTGTCTTAAATTTTCAAACCAAATACTTTGTGTGTTGAACTTGGGCAGAAGTCTCCTTCCTTCCTTCTCTTCTCGACTTGAAATAAGAAACTTGCCTTCTTTAGGAAAAGGTTCTGTCAGATCATTTTATTCCATTAGATGGAGACGTAGCAGGAATGGTTTCTGCTTCCAATTTGATTAGTCATTATGTTAAATAATAATAGTAGTAGTTCATTGGACCAGTAACTTTAAAGTGCTTTATTTGCCTTCTTTTTGAAGGGAGGGGACAGACCCTGTAAAAGAAACTGTCGAGTCAGCCCCTGTTGAGTAGTTTTCCAACCGTCTTCATCGATGCCGTGTAGTCTTCTGGCCTAAGGTAGTGCAAAATCTGAATCATCATGAACTGGTCACCAATTTCCAAAACATGGCTTCATAGACTTCATCAAAGCGTATGTTTCCCATGAATGTGAATATTTCAATGCCTGCTTTATTATGTATGCGTTGTTCTTGTGTTCTAAACTAGATAAAGAACTCTAGGAAGCATTGGTTGAATGCCTGGTGTTTATGGAGACACAAGTCCTTCACCCTGAGAGCTGTACCAAGAGATCAGCTTATAACAGCACTTCCTGTTCCCACAGTCTGTGGAAATGGTCCGACGGTTAAGACGGTTGTGACAACACTAAAGAAGTTCCTTGTGTCCCAGTTTCAAATGGTCTGTCATCTTACTTGGTTCCAATCCACAAAGTAGAGTTAAAGCTTGTCTCAATGTTCCATTCTCACAAATATCTTCAGCTTTTTTTAACATGAGAAAACGGAAGAATGTTCATTCAGCCAGACCCTTCTGGTTTTTTCCTTTGCCTTCCTAGGCCATGGGGCGAACACCACTATTTACAGCTGTACAAGAATTGTTTTTGCCACATTCCTACAACCCAGTAGAATTACTCTTCTTTCTTCTCACTGGGCAATGAGCACATGCTGCCTGAAATCCCAGCAGTGGGGTGCGAAGCTTTTTGTTTTTTGTTTTTGCCCTGGAAGATGTTCAGGCTCCCTCTCAATACCTTCTATGCTACCACCCCAGGAAGGGTGGGCAGAGGTCATTGCCAGGTTATATAATTTGAGAGGGGTGATAAGACTCTTCTAGACCAAACAGTTCAACACTGTGACATCGCCAGTTGCCAGCTCTGAAGGATGAGGGGGACATTTTGTGTTCAGCAGGAAGTCCTCGCTTCATTTTCGAAGTGATTAATACTGGACAGTCAACGCTAAATGACATTTGAAGAAATGAGAAGTTGTGGGTCCGTGGTAAGTTGTAGCGAATCAGTGGTCCAGAGGATTCTGGGTGGTGTCTCATTGCAGCTAGTTGCTGTTCTGGAAGCGCAAACCTCTGGTGCCGTAACTCAGGTTTACCTCACTGCATGCCGGGAATTACACTCAACTTGATATGCCTATGTTATCTCCTCTGTAGAGCCATTGCTTTGAAAGATTGTTGAATGCATTGACTATTCTCATACAGAGAGACACACACAAAAAATCTGTCATCTGGTACCAGGGATCTTTGGGACTGCTAGATAGGACATAGGACCCAGAGCACAGTGAAATTAAAGCAATTTGTTAGCTTTCGTTTGATTGGTTTTCACTCATACAGCGCAACGTTTTCCCCAGCAATGACCTCACAACTTAGACCCGTACTATTGCTTGAATCAGTGAATGCTGTCCTGAAATGTGGTTTTGGAAAATCAGTATTAGACAAATGCCAACAGAGAACACCGCCCCCCCAAACTCCCCCACCCCTGTTGTCATCTGGGGGAGCCACATCGAACAAGCAACCCTTAGCCTCTTGCATTTTGTCCCAACACATAAGCATTGGTAAAGTATTCCAATTTAGGCATTTTAGGCAGCCCTATGATTCCCCAATTGTGAGACATACCCTTCAGGAAAACACAAGGTGTGCGGGCCGGGGCTCTTGGCTGCTTGAGTTTTAGACAAACTGGCCCAGAGATGGTAAAGTGTTTCATTCCTATAAGATGGTTATATTGAGCATGACCTAAATCTTAGGTTTGGGATCTGTATAGTATGTTCCGTCAACAATATCTATTTATTACTCGTGCTTTCAGCTCCAGAGTAAGTATTCATTGAAAATGGAGTTCACTGGGCAGATTTCCCCTTTAATAGAGATAGGAATATTCTTTATCGGAGATTTAGGACACCGCTTTGTTAACTGGTAAATAAAAACAAATGTAAATATGTAAGAATGTTTATTTGTTGCACATAACTTTTTTGGTATAAAAATAAATGTAGACGTTACCTGTGGAAGTTGTGCTGCCATCTTTCTTCAGAAAAGAAACGGTATTGCACTGATGTGGAGACGTCATTCTACAAGTGGTGGTGGTTATGTGCCGTGGAGTCGGTCCCAACTCATAGTGACCCTGTATAGGGTTTCCGAGGCTGTGAACCTTACGGGAGCAGAAAGCCTCATCTTTCTCCCACGGAACAGCTGGTAGTTTCGAACTGCTGACATTGCGCTTCACGGCCCAATTCATAACCACTATGCTACCAGAGCGCCTTATTCTACAGGCGGACGGAGGTAACTCTTAAATTCTTGTGGGCTTGACTCAAAAGCATTAACTGCCTAGTTCTGCTAGGGTGTCAAGACCAAAACCCACCGACTCGACGGCACCTGAGAGAGCAGTCAAGTGGGTTCAAGACTGACAGTAACCCTGCAGAACCGAGAACTGCCCCATCGGGTTTCTAAGGCTGCCATCTTTACAGAAGCAGACTGCTGTACCTCGGAGGTTGCTGAATTCAAACCCCTGGCTTTTTGGTTAGCAGCCAAGCACTTAACCACTGCCACCTGGCTCCCTGTAAGCATCTTGAATGTGTTCATAAGCAAAGTTTGTCCACTTTGCAGTTCATAGTGTTACTTTAGCTTCACTTTACTACATTGCTGTCAGTGTTAGGTGCCGTCTAGTTGGTCGGACTCATGATGACACTGTGGACAACAGGTCAAAGCACTTCCGGGTCCTGCGCAGTCATTTTTATGTTCTGTCAGTCTTCTAAAAAGGGATCATGTGCACAACAAATGAATCCATTTGCAATACGGCTTTGCCATACTTTATTGTTCTGCTACAAACTTGTGTTAAGTGTCGTCAAGTCGATTCTGACTCATTGCAACCATGTATAGGGTTTACAAGAAGTGGCTGGTGGGTTTGAACCACCAACCTTGTAATTAGCAGCCCAGTGCTTATCTACAGCACCACATCAGGCCATTTGCTAATTTATAACATATTCAGATGTACCTGTTCAATTTAATTTCTAAACTGTTTATTAACTATAAAGTCCTGTAGATTTTTTTACATTGAACCTGAACATGAAATCTGATTCCTTCAAGTAACTTAAAAGTTCAGTGCTGACACAAGAAACTTCTCTCTTGAACCTGCTGTACACACTCATTTTTAAAAGCAGTCTATAGGAGCCCTGATGGTGCTGTGGGTTAGGCATTGGACTGACAGCTAACCACAAGGTCAGCAGTTCAATTCCACCAGCTGCTCCATGAGCAAAAGATGGGGCTGTCTCGGTCTCCACATAGGATGGCCATGAGTCAGAATCAGCTTCACGGCAGTGGGTGGGACTGAAGACGCCGGGTGAAATGAGACAACAGGTTCTCTGCCCTCTCTGACACTGGGTGGAAAGGAGAGCTAACACGTACTAAGAAGGGACTTGAGTTCTGTATCTAGACTTTTGTTGGCTCGTGGTGTTCCATTTGGAGACAAAAAGGGGTGTTTTCCCAAAGCATTTCTCTTTCCGCCAGGACTGATGACGCTGACCCTTAGCCTCTTTCTCCCCTTATGGCAAAAGAAGAAGAAAGGCCTTCTCGGGGCGTGGGGAGCTAGAGGCTCCACAGAGATGACAGCATGGAGCAACTACCAATAGTCGTAACCCGTGTGACATGGGCTGCCTCAGGGTCAGGGGAGTCCCTGGGCTTTGTTGCTCTCTCTTGGAATTTTCATCAAGACCAGATGCTGGAGCAGGACCGTGTCCTAGAAGAACCGGCTGCCTGAATCCCCAACATCTCCCTTTGCCAAACCAATAGTGTCAGTTCCCAATCAGGCCGAACCCCTTGAGTATACCTGTGCTCCCTGGGGTTTTCCATGGCTGATTATTTTCGGGGAAGTAGATTGCCAGACCATTCTTCCAAGGTACTTCTGGGTGGATTCAAACCACCCCCCTCTTAGTGAACAGCTGAGCATTTAACCATTTTTGGCACCACCCAGGAACTCCCATGCATACATGTGTTGCTTACAAACCTTAGTAATTATGCCCACACAGTGCCCTTCTGAGAGCCCGTCAGGACTGGAGGGGGAAGGAGGCTGTGTGACTGTCTTCCTCTCTTGGTTCAGTGAGTGAGCATGGGTGGTACTGGCACTGCACCCGCGGTGCCATCATTAACTCCAGTGAACCGCGTGGCCCTGAATCAGCCCCTGGTTCTCTGGCAGCACTGTGTCATGTAGAACATTCGATGTGCTGGACTCACTTTAAAGCCAACTTTTGAAACTGGAAACATCTTTATTTTCACTTCTCACTTTCCCTTCTAGCCGATGACCACACAGCCCCCACCCCTGCCACCTACATCCCGGAGGTATGGCTATGTATGCCTTCCCCGGGGAGAACGCCCTGACCGAAGGCACTTGTGGGTGCGGGCATGTGCACAGAAGTAGTCCTTGGTTTACAAAGTAAACAGGCTTTTCCCCACACATTGTGGCACCCCCACTGGAAGAGAATGCCCACTTTCATTGGCGATCTTCCAGTATCTCTCTCGCAAAACAAACGCTGCAGCTTTTGGCTGTCTCTGGCGGGTAAAAATCCCCTTTTTGTTTCCCATCACTCTCAAGGGTGCTGCAAGCAAGAAAAAGGCATTTCAGCGGGTGGCAGCCAAGCCAACAGGTAAGGGGGCTAATCTGAAGCAGTCTCTGAAATGGCAACTTCAAAGGTCAGCGGTTTGAACCCACCAGTGGCTCCGAGGGAGAAGAAACATGAGGCCATCTCCTCCTGTACAGATTTACAGCCTCATAAAGCACAGGGCGCAGTTCTATTCTGTCCCACACGGTAACGACCACTTGGAATCGACGAGATGGCAATGAGTTTGATTTGGGGCATCACTGTTAAATTCCATAGTACAGTTTTTGTGGAATTATGAGTGAATCCCACCAATAAATAGCATAATTCAAGATCCAGGTTTTACTCATTAAAAAAAAGCCTAGTGATCCTGCAGTGAATTCAGACTCATGGCAACCCCACGTGAGTCCAAACTGTGTTCCAGGGGTTTTTTCAGAAACCTTTCTCCCAAGGTGCCTCTGAGTGGGTTTGAACTTGCAGCCTTCCAGTTAGTAACTGAGGTTTCATCTGTTTATGCCACCCACAGATTGTTAGGTTTTCCTCAGCCTTCTGGGAAATGGCCAAGATAGCTACTTTGGCCTCAAGATAGGAGATTCTCCCATTCCGGTGGGGGTGGGTGGGTGGGTGTTTCACTATAAAGTGCCTTGGTAAGCATGTGAATGGTTGCTTTACAATTGGAAATACTCTGCTCACTTTGTCTAGAGACTTCTCAGTGCAGCCTACATTGACAGAGACCATCGATCTGTGCCCCTCTGGCTTCCAGTGTTCTTATCCCCAAACACCTGAGTCAAAAGGCCAACCTGGAAAAATCTTATAACAGTCCTTCCCCAGCAGCCACGCTGCCACTCACCCTGATCGGTCATAAAGTCAGCAAAGTTCCAAATCAGCTCGCCAACCACGTACTCTTGGCGTTTCTGATCAAAAACCAAATGATACTGCTCCAGCAGACTTCGATGGTATTCTTCACTGAACATCAGGGGTGGGTCCTGGAATCCAAGGTGGAGAGAGAGAGATTATGGAAAACCAGACTCCGCCCCTAAGGTCAAACAGTCTAATGCAGTCCACAAAGACCATGATCAACACTGTACTTTGGTGACAGGTCGCTCCTGTCTGGGGGAAAGAAGAAAGTGATACCACTTGGAAGCAGGCTAATGAGCCACGTCAACACCAATGTCAGGACCCTGAGATCAGAACTAGATGGTGCCCAGCTATCACTTCCAGCTAAGGGATCCCATTAGAGAGTCCTGGATAGAGTGGGAGAAAAAAGGCCAGGATTACTGGTGGACCTCCCTGAGGCTGTGGCCCTCAGTCCCTTCAGTATGGAACTGAACTCACCCCAGTAGTGCACTTTTCAGTCTTTAAAGGATAAGATAAAAATCCGCCATTTGAGATCAAAGGGCCAGCGTTTACACAGGACAAAGTTCCGAAGGCAGGAAGGGTTAGGAAAGGTTGAGGAATGAAAACGGAGGGAGTAGGTAAAGTGATGGTACATGGAGGGGACTGAAATCGGTGAGTAGAAAGAAGCAAGATGGCATACGGATGGTTGAGTGGAAAATGGATGAGATGCTCTGTAAACCTTTGCCCACTTCACAAGGAAGCATGAGGAAGGAGCCCTGGCAGCACAGCCATAAAGCTCCACAGTGATGACGCAACCTGAGTTCATGGTGGGCCGTGGGACTGTCGGGCCACCTTGGGGGAGAAAAGAGCTTTTTATCAGACCTTACTCAGTAACCAAGGAGCTCTGGTAGTGGAGTGGTTACAAATCGGGCTGCGAACCACAAGGTCAGCAATCCGAAACTACCAGCTGCTCTGTGGGAGAAGATGAGGTGTTATGCTCCTTGTAAAGATTTCCAGCCTTGGAAACCCTGTTCAGGGTCGCTATGGGTTGGAATCGACTAAATGGCACTTAACAGCAACAACTCATTAACTGTTGTTTGTAAACATCATGTTATTTGTTTTGTCATCTTTTTCCACTTCTACCCAAGGAGCTCTGGTAGCGTGGTTTCAAGTCTGGCTGTTAATCTCACCGTCTGCAGTTCAAAACTTAGGTAAGATAAGGCTTTCTGCTCCCATAAAGATTTACAGCCTCAGAAACCCTATGCAGGGTTGCTGAGTCAGAACCGACTCCACAGCACATAACCACCACCTAAGGAGCTCTGACAGCGTAGTAGTTACAAGTCAGGCTGCTAATCTCACAGCCAGCAGTTCAAAACTACCTACTGTTCCACAGGAGAAAGATGAGGCTTTCTACTCCTATAAAGATGTCCAGAATCAGGAACCCTATAGGGTCACTATGAGTCAGAACCGACTCGACGGCACACTACCACCACCACCACCCACCTGTGTACCATGAACTACATACAATAAGCATCAAGTGTCTACCAGGACATCACTGGAGAAGTGACTCAGATTGAACTGCAATTCATCTGGAGCTAGTTCGGGTAAGTATCTGTTTAGCACCTTTGTCCTGTCAGCAAATAACTGTTTAGTGTCTGTACAGGGTCGCTATGGGTCGAACTGACTTGACGGCACTTAACAACAACGTGACAGAAAGGAACCCCAGTAGCGCAACTGTTAGAGCGCTCAGCTCTGACCAGTAGGTGACTCCAACTGACTCAGCTCTGGGAGAAAAGGCCTGGCCATCTGCCTAGAAGCTGCCACGTGGGGTCACTGCAGAGTGAATGCGTGATAGGCACCCATCACAAGCGGTAACAATGGTGAAAAAAAGACAGCAAGGCGCTCAGGGATGACTAGTGAGTATCCGTTGACTCTGACTTAGGGTAACTGTGAAATGAAGGTTTTGTGTCAACTTGGCTGGGCCGGGATTCTCAGTGCGTGAGCAGTTACGATGTAATGATGCTTACCATGATGTGACGTAATAGGACTGTAATCGCCCCTGTGAAGTGACCAGCCCTGATCTGATGTAATTCTCCTATGTGTTCTATGATGTTCACGGAGCTCTGGTGTGGCGCCGTACAACCAGCAGTGGACTGGAAACCACAAGGCCAGCAATTCAAACCCACCAGGCACTCTTGGAAACCCTATACGGGGTCGCTGTAAGCAGGAACTGACTCAACGGTACATAACTACAAGCTATTAGTGAGGGCAGATGCAATCTACAGGATTAGGTTGTGTCTTGAGTCAGTTGCTTCTGAGATACAGAAGAGATCAAAGCAAGCATTGCTGAGAAGAGCCTAGTACCACCAAGAAGAGCTGGGAGTGGACTGTGTCCGTTGCACCTGGGGTCGCTGCACTGTGACCACAGCTCCTAGATCCAGAGGAAGACTGATGCCTAAGACACACGGACGACTCCAAGGAATGCTGGGCCTCCAAACCCAACAAAAAGCTAGTCTTCCCCTAGAGCCGGCACGCTGAACGTGGACGTCTAACCTCTGAGACGGCGAGGGAATAAACGCCTGTTAGTTAAAGCCACACCCCTGAGATATTTCTGTTGGATCTGCAATAAGAGTACCAAGACAGCAACCTTTCCCAAACCCACTGCCACTGAGTCTGTTCCAATTCACAGTGACCCTATAGGACAAACTACAACCGTTCCTTAGGGTTTCTGACAGTATAAATCTTTACGGGAGTAAACTGTAGCTAGTGGGTTTGAACCCCTGACCTTTTGGGTAGCGGCCAACTCTTAACCCACTGCAGCAGCACCAGGGCTCCTTATGAGTAACAGAACGACGCATTCCCTCATGGAGCCCTGGCTGGTCTGGTCGAGGAGTGAGATGTAGCTAGCTGTCGTGCACACTGAGAACAATCACAGATGCTATAACTCCCCGAGAGCGGACGCTGGAGCTGAAACCTGAACTCGACACCGGCATGTTAGTTGGCGTTGGTGACTATGGTGCTGACCTGGTCATCCCAGGCGGAGAAACTTGGGCAAAAGCCAAGAAGCCGGGTGCACTGTGGAGACCGGGAAGGAGCTTGGAGCCTGGGAAAGGCCAGCGAGCAAGGGTCTCTGAGGCCACTGGTGGGGCTCCCAAGGTCTGGGTTTGGTAGGGAGACTACCTGGGCTGCTGTGGGAGGCTGGCTCCTGCCGCAGAGCCCAACACCAAGGACATGGGCAGAGTGTGGTGGCTAAGCAGGCACATTCTTCCCTGGGGCACATATGTGACATACACGACTGTCTGAGACGGGGAAGAACCCGGCAGAAAGTTCTACAGCACTCACCTGGTGGAACCCAGCAATGCTATCTGCTCCATACTCGCTCTGGATAATGGGCTTCTGGAAGGTTCTGTGCCAGTTCTCAAACTGGGTGGCTAGCTGCATCGGAATCACTTCCAAATGCCCAAAGTCATGGTACCAAGAGTAGTAACTGTTGACGCAGATCACATCCACATACTGGGCCTAGGACAGAGCGGGGACACCAGGTCACCAACGGGACACAGTAGCCACAGCAAGAGAGGATGCAGAAAATGACTGAGACCTTGAGGTCATCCTGTCCCATGTGGGAGATCTATTAAGAAATGTCTTAAATCGAGCAGGCCTCTGATCCTGGGCTAAGGCCCTGGGCAGGCTGCTGGCACTGGGCAGTGCTTGGTACAAGACTAGAGGCCCTGTTCCCGCTGGACTTTGCTCCTCAGCCCTCACCTGGGCCTGGAGAAATGCTCCCAGCAGCTCTTCTCCACATAGAAGTGGTCCATTCACCCTAATGGGCATGACCCTACTGCAGATCCCACTGTGATCAGAGGGGGTCTCCTCCAGGGGGAATCGGGTAGGATGGAGCAAGGCAGGCTGGAGAGGCTCAAACACCACAGTGCAGGACTGAGCCGCAAAAGGCTCTTCCACTTGTCTGGTCTTGAGAGTCACCCAAACACACTTCCAGTAAAAACCTTCATCTCCAAAGGCCACGTGTGGATGGCTGTGGTCTTTCCCAAGAGACTGGAACCCCCTTCTCCAGACCCACTGAACTCCCTGCCATCAAGTCAATTCTGACTCTTAGCAACTATGAATAGGGTTTTGGAGGTTGTAAATCTTTACATAAGCAGGAAGCCTCATCTTTCTCCCTGGGATGGCTGCTGGTTTGAACTGTGGGCCTTGTGGTTAGCAGTCCAGTGCTTATTCTACAGCAGCACCAGGGCTGCTAAAAACTAACGGAAAACAGCAGGTACCAGAGAAATCTGGGGAGTGGACATATTTAGAAATGATGTGGACATATTTAGAAATGGACTCCAGATTCAACCAGATGAGCCTGGAGGCTTTCTGCAATCAGGCCAGGTGTGGCCCACAGAGGTCTCCCCATCCACAGGAAGGACGGACTGTAGGACAAGAGGAAGGGCCTCAGACTCTGAGACTGGGCAGGCCCCTTTGGTGCCTGATGCAGTTCTATTCTGTACCGCCTGGGGTCACTGTGAGTCAGAATTGGCTCTACAGCAACAGGTTTGGTTTAGGGTTTCTTTTTGTTCTTGAGAAACTGCCAGGGGAAACCAGTGGCCAGTCTTCCTCCAAGCATGTTAAAAGGGCCAGACTGACTGGCAGGGACACCTTTGGCTTTGCATCTGTTGGTGACACTGTTTTTGCACCCACTCTCCAGCTGGTTTCTCACCTCCCTCTTGGTGCCTACCCTGTGGGTCTCTAGCGAAGGAGAGCTTTCTAGCTCCTGTGTTTTACAGCCTCAGTGTAACTCCACATGGTGTTTTACATGCAGGAACAGTGGATGTGTGTGCAGGCCACAAGCCCGGGACTCGGAGAGGCGAGGAAGCCACCAGGTTCCGAAGGAACAGCAGGGCTGGGGCAGCGAATTTGCTTGGACGTGGAGCTCCCTCTTCCCCTAAGGTGTTCTGGACTGAATTGTATCCCCCAAAATGCTGGAATCCTAACTTGTTTGGTATGCTAATAAGGCCATGCCTCCCCACCTCATATAACCTAGTACATGAGCAGATACAGAGATAAGCAAAGACAAACAGATGGGGAATCAGAGACAGATGCTACTCGAAGGTCGCCAAGGAACGGAGGAATTAGGAGGAGGTGAGGACCTTCCCCTAGAGCCTGCACCCAGACTCTGGACTTCCAGCCCCTAAACTGTGAGAAAATACACTTCCGTTCAGTGAAACTACCGCCTGTGGTGTTTCAGTTATGAGAAACTCAGCTACAAGCCTTCACTTATGAAATTGGAATCCCAAGATCTCGAAGGTTCTGACGATCAGCCAAGTTTAAGCGGAAAACATGGGACCAGCCCACATACTCAAACCTCTGCGATTTCACAAGCTTATTAAAATCAAGGTGCATAAAAAGCTGAGCCCAAACAGAGAACTGGTGAGCTCTCCCCACGCCCTCTTTCAACTCAAAGCCAGACTGTGTAGGAAATAGATGAGTAGTTAGCGGTCTGTCCCTGGTTCTTTCCCGCAGCTCATTTTAGCAAGTGTTAGAGCAGGCCTGGAAGACAAGCATGTGAGGAACAAGAGCAGCAAAAGGAGGGTCCAGGCTCACCCCCAAGTCGACATCAAAGTTGGAGTTGGTCACATAGGTCACGGGTCGGGTGGGGTCCAAGGCCTTGGTGTGGGCAATCAGCGTCCTGTCCGTGGAAGGCAGAAGACACAAGGGACAGAGGTCCATCAGCCTGGGAAGGGCACTTGGACACCCATATCCAGTCATATTCCATCCAAGACCATCACTCAAAACACCTATGCCAAGACCACTGTGGTCTCCCTACTTTGAGGAGTGGGTCCAATAGCCAACATGTGCCTCTCATCTCAGCTCCTGGTCCTTCAACTCCTGGCCCTCACTTAGGGCACATGAACAGAGGCCTGTAGGCTGGAAGCTGACAAAAAGTACATTCTGGATCCTTCAACTAGCTCTTAAAAATAGGATTGGACAGAGTATGGATTAGGACTGGAAATTCATTCATTTAGCAATAAGTAGTCAGTGGTTCAAACTCCCCAGCCGCTCCTCGGAAACCCTATACAGGGTCACTATGAGTCAGAACCAACTCAACAACAACAACCTGCTAAGACAAGACTAGGAAGGAAGATTCGGTAATCTACTTCCCAGAACCAGCCGTGACAACTCTCTGAATCACAACAGAACATTCTGTGATAGAGTGCTGGAAGATGAACTCCCAGCACTGAAAGGCTCTCAAAATATGCAGCAGCCACAACCAGGGACCAAGTGTAGCAACAGCCGTGAAGATGGTGCATGCAGGCCCAGGTAGCCCTCTCGTTCTGTAATTAGGGGCGCCATGACTAGGAAGTGACCACCACCACCATCTGCTGCTGGCCACAGCTTCATGAAGCAGCAGTGGAAGACACACACAGAGATCAATGTTACAAATGAGAATGACAAGTGTCGTGGGAATGGTGACAGGGAAGCACGGGTTCCATGAGACTTTTGAATTGGAAGACTCAAGGACAGCTTGGCACTTATGCTGAGAATGAAGAATACACCAAATAACAGGAAATGGAGACGACAGACGGCTTGGACACGGCGAGGACCAGTCAGTCCTCATTTGCTGTTGGAGCCTGGTTTCCTCTCCTCTGTCGTCAAGGCTGTTTGTCCATTTGCCCTCTCCCCACCATGTACTTCTGTGGTTCCTATGTGTCAGAACAGCTCTCCCTGACCCTCGGGTGCCAAGCTCACAGAATGCCTATTGGCTGAGCTAGCCCACTCTACCCATCACCTGTTGCGCCTTTCCATCCTCCTCATAAAACGTGCCCCTCTCTCCACCTTACAATTAAGGACGTGTGGCAAACGTCTCTCTTGACGCACCTTCAGGGGTGACCTGAGGTCCCAGCCTTCCAGTTAGAAACTGAGCGTGCTGTCTGCGGCCCCCAGCCCCATCCCGAGACTCCAGGTTCTCACTTCGGGTGAAAGAAGGACATGTGAGGTGTCGCTGGATTCAAAACCACAGTTTGAATTGGCTGAGATTTGAAACTTGAACTCTCCAAGTCTGAACAGGGACACTGTCTGTTGTACGGCTACAACATACGCCACCTCAGGGCCGACCTCAGCTGACCCCTCAGGTGTTACAGGCAAGACACTCACTTAAAGTAGTAGTTGGCGGGCTTCAGGGAGGAAGCTGGCTCATTGGCCACAGACCACATCACCACGGCAGGGTGGTTCTTGTCCCTACGCACCAGCTCCTCCATCACCTCCAGGTGGTGGGCCAGAGACATGTTGCTGAAGTTCTCACTGTAGGGAGGGATAAGAAGGGAGTGTGTGTCACTGCCCGCCAGGTGGGCTGGGTGGGTGGGCACTGTCAAGGACACTCACGGCAGCATAATGCCCACACCAGGGCTCTCATCGATGATCACAATGCCATAGCGGTCACAGAGTTGCATCACCTCCTCCGCGTAGGGGTAGTGGCTGGTACGGAAGGAGTTGGCACCGAGCCAATGCAGAAGGTTGAAGTCCTTCATCAGGAGCGGCCAGTCAAAGCCCTTTCCTCGGACCTAGGAGCAGTGGGACCAGGTCCCTGATGTCCCCACCCTCCTGGAGAAGCACCCCACCCACTAACCCACGGGTTTGGCATCGATTCCAAGACTCAATCTTGAAGGGAGCAGAGTCTCATCTTTTCCCCAAGTAGTGGCTGTTGGCCTTGAACTTCTAACAATGCTTAACCCACTATACTAGCAGCCTGCTTTCTTTCTATATTGAGGCCCAGTACAGGCCCCACCAGAGAGAGATTTGGGGCAGCCTGTTGGTCTGCTCAGACTGCCCTCACCTGTTCCAGAGGCACAGGGAGGTGACTAAGGTGTCCACAGGGCCCCCACTCACATCAGCATCCTCGTGCTTGTTGACCCCATGGAAATAGAACGGCTTTCCATTGATGAGGAACTGGTGATCTGTGACAGCCACCGTGCGAATCCCCACAGGTAGGGTGTAGAAGTCAGGCACAGGCCCAGCCGTAGTCTGGGCGGTCAGCCGCACCTACGAGCCAGAGCGCCAGTGACTATGAGGCACCTGCGGTGCGGTGCTCCGAGCCCCAGCAGCCTCCCTCCGGGGCTGTAAGACTGACACACACAGAAAGCAGAGGCAACGGGGAGCTCGTTCTGTCACTGCCCCTGGGATCCTCCTGTTATAACTGGGGGCCCCTCATCCAGGGTTGAAAAAACTCAGGCAGTCACGTATCAAATTGAATACACAAACAACTGAAATGTCTATCAATAGATGAAACAAAATTGGGATACTGTGGAGCCATACAGAAATGAAGTCCTGAGAGCATGCCACAACATGGGTAAACCCGGAAAACGTCACACAAGTCAGTTGCAAAAGAACAAATATTGAGTGCTCTCCCTTAAAGGAAATGAGCAAATATATGAGGGGGCTTCAAAAGGTTCATGGACTTAAAACTGGAATTACAAGATCATGGGAGTTTTTCCACAAACTGTTTGAAGCCCCCTTGTACAGATACCCAAGATTATTAACAGTGACCAGTAATAGGGGAAAAGAAAGAAGAGAAATGGGCTTTTGCTCCAAGTTTGTGTTCATGGTGACAAAACAATTTGGAAAAGGACAGTGAAGACGGTTGCACAACATGAAGAGCATGATCAATATCAGGGCACTAAACTGCACTTGTAGAAACTGTTGAGTTGTTAAATGTTCTGTAGTTTCACTGCAATTTTTAAAAAAAGAATCTAATTGTATGGGAAGCTCAGAGGATCTGCCTGCCCATCTGTCTGGAGGCCTGGCATTCAACAGTCCCTTTTGCCCTTAGCCAGAGTCTTAACCACCATTACCTCCAGCGAGTACAGGTAGGCAGGATAGCTGTGCATCAGGTATGGCCACCAGAGGTGGGCGTTGGGCACCCGCAGCTGGCCCTGGGCCCCCTCGCCATGGGCCACAACTTGGCCTTCCGCATCTAGAAGGCGCGTTTCCAGCTCGAAGTGTTGGCTGCCCTGGACAGAAATCTGGTAATTCACCACTCCTGCAAGAGACAGAGGCCCAGACCCACCGTCATTTGTTCAAGTCCCTATAGAACACCAGGCTACAGCACAGCATCTCTAGATGGGGACATTCAGCCGCAGAAGCAAAGTGGGGAAGGGACACGGGATTCTCAGCCTGAGGTATATGACTATAGGCAAAAAAAAAACAAAAAACAAATACAGTTCTCAGGGGGCCCGTGTCTCCTCAAACAAGGACAGGCTAGATGGGATATTTCTGAAGCTCCTGCCCATTCAAGACTGGATTTTCAAATCTTAGATGGATGGACTACCACAAGTCTGTCAGTAGATTGTACTGCGGAGACTTGCAAGTTGCTATATGATACCACTGGTTTTTCAATTACCAGCAGGGTCACTCGCGGTGGACAGATTTCAATAGAGCTTCCAAACTAAGCTTAGGAAGAAAGGTCTGGCATTGTACTTCTGGAAATCATCCAAAAGAACCTTGTCAGAGAAAGTGCTGGAAGATGAGTCACCTAGGCTGGGATGGGACTGCTCTCAACAAAGGACTCGGGCAATCATGGTGCCAACGGGGCAGCAGCGTTTCACTTTGTTGTACGTGGGGTCACCACGAGTAGGTGCCAACTGTACAGTGCATTTAACACAGACTTTCTCCTGGGGGAGCCTTTCCCAGCCTGGCCAAGAGCAGCCCCAGCCAGGAGCTCTCACCGCATTCTTGTTCTGTCCCGGTGATGACGGTGATGTCATCGATGTAGGTGGTGGGTGTGGTATAGAGGAGCACGGGCCGGTGCAGCCCCGCATAGTTGAAGAAGTCAAACCTCGTATTCTGCACAAAGTAACCATTGGGGTACCTGGTGTGGGAGGACAACAGCCAAGTTGTGCCTAACCTGGGTCCTTCAACCTATGGGGAGGACCACTAGGCAGGGAAGGGGAGGTGGGGAGGACGCTGCTCACTTGGAAGAGTCTGTCTTGTAGAGGATGGTGCCGGGGGGTAAGGTATTGGGAGTGAGTGTGTTGTTCACAGCGATGGTGATTCGGCATGACCCCAAGGGCCCACCCTGCACCAGCTTGCTGATGTCAACTTCGAAGGGAAGGTGGCCTCCCTCGTGCTCTGCTATGTGGACCCCGTTCACCCACTGTACACGGAAGGGAGGCACAGGGCATGAGGAGGAAGCCATGCATTCTCAGTCTCTCCCTACACCCAGAGACAGGAATGTGTCCCCCGAGTACCAGGAAGCACCATGTCAGCTGAAGGCTGGGAGCCACACCCCCCAAAGGCAATGCCATGCTTGCCCCCTGCCATGTCTGCTGCCCACGACACTGACCACAATGGCATAGTAGTGGGCACTGCCAATCCTCAGAACCACTCTTGTGCCCAGGTCTTGGGTCCATCGCTGGGGCAGGACTGCCTCCCGTTCGTACCATACCCAGCCGATGAAGCCACGCAGCTTCCCGTCCTGGGTCACATCATTGAAGCTGGAGGGGACGGGCATGTCCAGGGTGGGGCCCAACTGGAAGAAGAGCCAGAGTCAAGGCCTGACCCACGACAGCCGAGAGAGTTCCTGGCTGTCCAAATCCTTCACCAGCGATGCATGAAACTAGAAGGCTGAATTGGGCAGTCCTGTAGAGAGAGATGCTGACTAAGAGTCAGCTGATCCCACCATGGCCGTCTGACAAGGAAACTGTGAGCAGAGTAACACCAGTGACCCTAGCTGAAAAGAGGACCAGGGAAAAGAGGACCTAGCCGGTATCATGGTTAAGCACCCGACTGTGAACTGAACAGCAACAGTTCGAACCTACCAGGCACTCTGAGACAAAAACGAGGCAGTCTGCTTCATAAAAGCTCTGGTAGCATAGTGGTTATGAATCGGGCTGCGAACCTCAGGGTCAGCAGTATCAAACTACCAGCAGTTCCTTGGGAGAAAGATGAGGCTTTCTGCTCCTGTAAAGATTTACAGCCTCGGAAACCCTGTGCAGGGTCACCATGAGTTGGAAGTGACTCCACGGTACTTAAGAACAACTGCTTCATAAAGACTACGGCCTTGAAAACCTGTAGGGTTGTTAGGAATGGGAACGAACTTCCCCGCAAGGGATTGGTTGGTGGGCTGGTTTGGTTAGACTGGCTGCTAGAGTCCTCTGCCAGAGGGTCTCATAGACCTCCCTCCACCCCACTTGTCTGCTAGGACCCAACCCAGGTCAGAAAGAGAGAGTTGGCTAGCTGGGTGTGGAGTCCCTTGATTTGGCACCCAGACTCTTCCTGCCAGGACAGAGCTTGGTCCAAGGTATGTACATCCCACCGCACATGTATCCTGTCAGAGATCTGGCCACCTTATCTCCTCTTCTGTTCCTGGCCAGCTGTCCACCTGGCCATGTGCCCGTAAGCACAGAGGAAAGAGATTGGAGGTGCCGGGCGCCCCACTTCCACCACGTGGCTTTCAGCTGCAGGACCCGGGTGCTCCCCAACTAGACAGCCGGAATGAAGGTCCGGACGTATGTTCCCCGACGGTGTCCTGCCCCCACCAGCCTCCCTCCCCGTGGGACCCTTCGGCCTAACTGTCAAGGCCGGACCTCCCGCAGCGGCCGCTGGTACCACTGCTGCTCAAAGCCCCGGCGCCGGTTGTCCGAGAAGTCCGCTCGGAAGCTCCAAAGGCCGCCGAGCTCCTTGCGCTCCCGCGACGGACTCTCCCTGGGGTACAGCATGCCGCCCTGCAGCGCCAGGCCGCGGCCCCAGAGCACTGGCCCGAGCACGGCCACTACCAACGCCAGCATCCGGACCATGTCTGCAAGCTGCAACTCCCCCACCCGGCTCTGCGCCGCTGGGAGGCGGGCGGGGAATTTCAAAGGGAAAGGAGGTCACGTGGCCCCGAAGAACCGGTCACGTGGCCTGGCCTGAGGCGTGACTCGCCATTTTGGTTGTGGGTGATTGCCAATCTTAGATTGTTGTTCGGTACCATCGAGTTGGCACCGACTCCTAACGACCCTATACTCTATATCGAAACACTGCCCGATCCTGGGCCTACCTCAGTACTGTTGCCACGCTTGAGTATTTTGAGTGCCTTCCAACCTGAGGGGCTCATTTTCCGGCACTATATCTAACAGTGTTTCTTAGATAGAATGCCGGAAACACAGCCTGGAGGGCCCGGCTCCGCCACACTGAAGGTGGTGGCTCAGTCAGCCCCGCGGGAAAGGCACCGACAGGCAAGAGGCACCGTGCCAGCCAGACCCGCCGGCGCAGGCACTGCCAAACCGAGGGCAGAGCGTTCTAGCTGGGCCGGCGGACAACGTGGACCCCGCGTAAAGCCCCCATGGTAAAAACGGCGTTTCTACGGAAGCTGTTCTGCAACATTTCCAGTCGTTCATGCCTGCGGGCAGCAGTGTGAAGCTCCAGCTAAGATTAAGGGATGCCATCCCAACAGAGGGGCAGCAACCTGGACTGGATTGCATGGCTTCGTCTAACCACCAAGCGTTTCTTGTTCAGCAAAGCACCGTCCGATGCTGTCCCCTGATACTGAAAATGGGACCCCTAGGAGCAAAGCACTTACAGACACTTAAGTAGTCACCACTTAAGGGTCAGGTGGATGGAGACATGCCCACAGGGTCCCACCCCACCCCCTTCACCACGACCCCCTATCAGAGTTGAGAGAGACAGGAACCATTCGGATACGATTTAGGGAGTCCCTGGTGTGTGGCGGAGTCCTGGTGTGGCATTGTGGGTTAATGCGCCAGTCTGCAAAGTGGTTTGAACTGCAAGGTTGGTGGTTCAAGCTCACCAGATGCTCCTCGGAAACCCTATACAGAGTCGTTATAGGTCGGAATCAACACCACGGCACTTAACAACAAGAATCTCTGGTGTATTAGGAGCTCTGGTAGCCTAGTGGTTAGGAATCGGACCACGAGCCTCAAGGTCAGTTGGAAACTACCAGCTGTTCTGTGGGAGAAAGATGAGGATCTTCAAAGTCGGTGGCTCAAGCTCACCAGTTGCTTCTTGGAAACCCTATACAGGATTGCTATGGGTCGGAATCGACGCAACGGCACTTAACAAGAATAACAAAAGCAGGATAGTACAAGTAAGTATATCGTACTTCACAGCCTCTGAGTAGTGCGAAGTACGAAGCATTTTTTTCTTCAGCTGTTACGTTGGAGGTTCGCATCCACTAAGAGGCTCCTCTAAAGAAAGTCTTGGTGATCTCCTTTTGAAAAACCAACCAGGGTCCTGTTCAGGTTTTGTTTTTTTCATCCTGGATGTGTGCTGTTTCGTCTCATGCCTTATCTCGGACTAGCCTTTTTCATCGCTGGTCAGGAGTATTGTTAACAGAGCTTGAATATCTGCCCAATTAGGATGATGGGTCACAAAAAGTGATGGGTAGAAAGAAATGGAAGAAATTTGACAGGGTAATTGGCATGAATCCATCCCAACTGGTGGACATCACCTTTGAAGTGTTTAACAGCCAAGAGCACGAGAAATTTCAGGCAGTAACTGTCCTCCTAAAAGACCACTAGAGGTAAGCCAGTGAGACCCAGGAAGGACCCGGGAAAGGAACGAGGGCCTTAAGCAAGGACCGATGTGCTCATGCAAAAACTTGGACACTGGACAAAATAAATGCCAAAATCTCAGGGGAGGATCTGGTAGAAAAAGCCATGAAACTCAACAGATGGTTGAACAAGTTTTATTGTCTGCAGAAGATTAACGTTGTCAGGGGGTAAGGGGATTAGCATGATATGGCATCAACCTCTGCCACCCCTAGGACCTCAGAGGAAAATAATAATGGGGACAGTGATGGTGACTGAGATCTCAGGTAAGTCTGAGGACCAGTTCTTCCTGAAATCCCTGGACTGCTTCATTGGGGAAGAGAAAATAACCGACTGGTCCCCTTACTGGGCCAGGACCTGCTTCCACAGTTGCATGTTCAAACAGCTTTCTGAAACCAATAGTCTGCAGATGGAGTTCCCTCATGAACATGCCTGGCGATTACTGATGCAGACTCAGGAAACCAGTCACATTGGCCTGAGGAGATCGACAATCAGGTAAAACCCCCGTGTGGACTTATGGAACTCTGGGGAGAGCCAACAAGCATCCCCCGTGGAGGTCTGATTGAAGCCTGGAAACTGACCATCCACAGAAACCAATATCCTCTCAGAAAAGAGGCCGAGAAATTCATTCTGACCAGCTTGGCCCCATCCCCATCAAGCCGTCTCCCTGCTGCTAAAGAAGGGAAGCCTGTGGCTCACAACAGGACGGTTAGGCAAAACCAGGTTATTTTACTGGGCAATCCAAATATTACCCTGTGACTTATAGGGCAACTAAACCTGCCATCCTCCCCTGATGTGGCAATTGGAGGGTTGAACCATGATTATAGAGAAATCATTGACCAAGTATCTTCCAGTCAACCTGACCTGTTTAACTGTATCTGGTGGACTAGACATTATTCATGAACAGAAGCAGTTACATGGAAAAAGGAACTCGGATAGCAGGACGTGTATAGTAATCTTACAAGACCGGGTAGAGGCAATAGCCCTCCTGCCGGGGATCTCAGCTCAAAAAGCTGAACTGATTGCACTGACGAGGGCATTAGAAATGTTGGCAAGAAAAACTGGATGTGTACCCAGAGGGCTTGAGTAGAACTGAGGCAGAAGGATTGGAGAGAGGGGTTAAAGGATGAAAAGTAGTTGACAGTGGAATTGTTCTGGTTCTGAGATGTTAAAAGCTAAAAAGTAAATGGCTTTTTAATAGAATGGTTCTGATGCTGTGAAAAGTAGCCCCTGCTCTTCTTAACTGAATCCATGAAATGACCCACTAACAGGAGAGAGGCCCCGACTTGCTTCATTTGGCCCTGGCACTAGAACAAGAAATTTTCCAAAAAATCACTCAAGAGGTTAGCTCTGACCGTTAACCTGCCTCAAGAACAATCCCAAGACAGTTTGTCCTGTACCAATACCAAGGTAAACAACCCCCAGGAAATTAACAGGTTGATTTCATGCAGCTGCTCTAAGCTGGGGAATTAAATATTTGCTGGGTTTTTTTTTTTTTACATTCATCCTATCATATATTGTTTCAACCAACGAAAGGGTAATCCTACAAGCCTGAACCACTCCCCATCCCCCCTCCGGTCATCAGCACCCAGGCCCTCTCCCTCTCTGGGTCCAGAGTCCCCAGCTGTTCCATCTCTCTACATCATCATCTCTGGGATCACTGCTTCACTGGTTCTGTTTTTGTAGACACCTTTTCTGGTTGGATAGGCTTTCCCCCACCAGAACTCAGAGCTTCAGAAACAGTGAAAATCCTTTTGAAGGACAGTACGTCCAAGTTTGCACTTCCAGAGGGTCCAAAGTGACAATAGAGCAGCAAATACCTACAGATGAAATGGAGATTTCATTCAACGTGGAGGTTCGAGAAAATGAACCATACTCTAGAGAGAAACAAATGACAAAACTGTCAGGAAATTTATCTCTATTGGGACCAGGTGTTGCCTTAGCCCTGTTTCGAATTCAGGTAATTCCCAGAAGTGGGCTTAAAGTGACCCTTATAAAGTTGTATACAGTAAACCTTCCCAGGCAGCTTCCGTCAACCCCCTACCTGACCAAAGCTAAAGTTTAAAGGTGCAATGGTATGCACAACACCTCCATCACACACTTTGTATTATTTGTAAAATTGCTCTTCCCAGGTCTGCTTCCTTCCCTACAGGTAACCTGATCCCTTCCAGTCTGGAGATCATATTCTGCTCAGAACATGGAGAGACAGACCTGAAAACCAGTTAGAAAAAAGTGGACTGGACCCTGGGAAGTCCTTGTAGTCACCCTGTCAGCTGTCAAGTTAGCCAGACTCAACTTGGACACAATGGGACTCTCATAAGACGTTAGTCCTTTCAATGGGATGAAAAACATTTGGGCCTATTTAGCTCAGAGTATAATAAATGTATCTGATTTGCTTTTTCTTTCCAGAAGGCATTCAGAAGCATCTGCAAAGATTACTGAGGGCTGGAACAAGAAATTATCCCAAGCCCAGCAGCCAAGGTAGGAGGAGTCCCCACCTGGATTGACCACAGCAGGCTGAAGAGAGCCTCGTTTCCATGAGAAGCTGAAACTGACCCTACCAACCCGCCCTGCTTCAGCCAAAAACTGGGAGCTGGCTGATCTACGCACAGGCGAAGCATGAGGATGTCTGCCATGGGATTCATTGTAATTAGACTTTGGGGTGTGGGAAAAGGAGAAATCTGTGTAATCTATACACCCACACCACCAAGGTGGGCCAAACAGTAACCATGTTACTCTTCTATAGTTGCTGTAAAAGCGAGGGCACTCTCCTCCTAGGTAACTGAATCTATAACCAATGGAACTGGGGTGGCCCTAACCCTTCTTGCATGTCACCAGACCCAGATACTAAATGCCATCTATCAAAATAGATCAGCCCTAAACTACTTCCTGGCTGCGGAAGGATGAGAGATGTGTGAAAAGGTTAATTTTGCTGACTGCCGCATACAAGTAGATGACCAGAATCTAGCAGTAGAAGACCTTGTAAAAATGCAGACAGTTGCCCATGTCCCTGTGCAAACCTGGAGTGGGTGGAACCCACAGAACCTATGGGGAGGGTAGTTCTTCACCTTTACAGGGTTCAAAACCCTTGTGGGTGGGTTCCTGTTTTATTTGGAATTTACTTAATCAGTCCATGCCTCCTCCTCCCACTAGCAAACAGGGCCATGGGAACTGCCATTAAAACCAACCAATCAAAAGGGGTACCAACAATTCAAATCAATACCAAAATACCATTCCTTACATAGATG